TTTCTGAATAATGAACCTAGTGTATGAAAGAAATAAGGGTTAAAATATCATTATAAAATTCAACTCCAATAATCAATCAATAGGTTAAACATTGATCATTCAGTTCTGACCATTACATTTTCCAATAGCATTTCAGCTTACTGTGAGTTAGTTGGTAAGATTTAAAATTGCACTAACTCTATAACTTCGATCAATTTTGATACATTATTCTTCATATAATTAAAATTAACACGAAATGATTCATTCAATTCTATAATATCACCCGAAATGGCAAAATTATGTAATTCAATATTCATCTTCTTTAACTGTTCAGAATCTTCCTGAAAATTAACTGAAATGATATTTTTCATTCAATTATTCGATAATATTTGTAATTCATAAAGCATTCTGTTCCAAAAAAAACGACCAATTTCAATCATTTCCAATGAATTTGCTTATAAACTTCTTTGCTTCTCATCATCAAGGAAATAATTCCGGTTACAATATAATAAGTAAAAATGACTAACTTACCAAATTGGTCACTTTCATCTATTTTTGTACTTTTGCAATTTTATAATATATTTTAGGATTTGAAAGAAATTAATATGAAAATCGAAAATCAACAAACTATAAGTTGATTGAAGAATTGTTCTGGGAAATGTTGCTTGAAATTAATATTTTTGATTACATCAATCATTTCATCTCGTTTTTCTTCAACATCCATTTTCTTCATAATTGCATCAGTATTAATTAATCTTTCAACTTCTAACACTGACAGAATTGTTTCATTATTCTTGCATCGCATTATAATATTACTGAAATTAATTAGCATCTTTTATATTTTATTGAAAATGTGAAATTTCAGATTTCAGAAGTTTCAAATTTAGAGCAAATTTACAAATTTGAATTTTTTATATTAATTTTTATACATAGCAAAAAATCATTTTATTTCTGTAACTAATTTTATTGAAAATTCTCTAATCAATACTTACCATATTATGATCATTGCAAAAATTATTGCAAAAGTTTATTCGTTTTTTAAACAAATAAAATTTTGAACAAACAAAAAATTTCATTTTTTGATATTGGTTTTTTTATCATAGCAGAAAGTATTTCTACAATTAATTTATTGAAAATTCTCCAATCAATATTTAACGCATTGTGATCGTTGCAAAAATTCAAAAATCTAATATTTAAAACTATTTATTAAATTTCAGGAATATTTAACATCGCATATTCTGAATTTTGCCGAAAGTATTATGATTACCCAATATTTGTTGTGAAAATTTTGTTGTCGATAGGATTTTGCATGTAAAATGATGGTAACGCTTTGAAGAAGCGCATTTCAGGATCGTGAAATAGTGGATTACAAAATGTTTCTACGCTATATCCAACAACAAAACTTAAACTGAAAAATAATACATTCAATAATATTTTTTTAGATTTTTTTTTCTTAAGACATAACTTAATCTAAAATATTTTACTAGTAACAATAATTATGAGATATATTAATGTTGCTTTTGCGAATTTAATTAACAAATATCAACAAATTAAAGTTCTAAAATTCAAATCAATTGATGGATTAATGGAATTTTTAATGGTTATCGTCTGTATATCTATTTTAAAATGTTTAAAAAAACATTATTTTGATGTTGCAAGAAAACATTTTCTGCTAAACAGTATATAAATAATCAGATAACAAAGGTTATAATCAATAATAAATGAAGGAAGAACAATGAAAACATTGTTCTTCCTTCGTTTATTATTAATTATGACTTTTGTTCCCTGATTAGTTATGCATCGTTTATTTTGTTCTTTATTAAAAAAATTTTGTAAATGAAGTAAATTGCAAAAAAAAACAGTAGGATTTAAAAGATTTTATAAAAAAAATAACCTAGCGATAAGCATTACGATCCATCCAGTGAAGAATGCTCCTGCAAGAGCAAATAGACCGAAATAACGGCCGCAATTGAAGATTTTTAAAGACTTATCACTGAAATTTTTAACAATAAAATAAAATAAAATGTAAACTTTGAAATCGATTTAGTTCACATAAATATGAATTAAAATTTAAGCAAACCTTATTAAAAGTTTCACATTCAAAAGAGGTCATTTTAATATTTGTAATCATTTAGTTTTCATCCTCATTTGGCTCTACTTTCTTCTACAAAACAAACGAAGTATTATTTCATGCGTCAAAGATATGATAAACGTTTCTTTCCTTCAAATAAACCAATAAATTCATATTAATTGATATACAAACTAGTCTTGGCACCGGATCATAATATGATACCTTTCGAGGTATTCAAAGAAATCTTTACAGACGAATGATATCCATATTATGATCCGAATGAATTTTTAATTAAATCAAATCATAGTATTTTTCAATGATTGCTATAAATTGTTGCTATTTTCCTAGGATTTAACACTTCAAAGAAATATTAAAAAAATTTATTGAGAAGAAAATGAAAAGTTTACTTTGCAAATAATTTTGCGATTCCGCAAAATACAACAATAATAGTGGGAATAATAACACTTAAAACAGGTATAATTACCAGAAGATATAAGATATTTCCTGTTTCAGCAAATTCTCGGGACTAAAATAAATTTTATAATCGATCAGAAAATTGAAACTGTTATTAGTTCTCATGAAATATTTACAGTATTTGTATCCAAATATTTGCAGTATTTGTTTATATGAAATTTTAGAAACAATTCAAACTATCAAAAGATATCCAAGTATTAAAAAATAGATTAATGTAATAAAAATTTTTATTTGTTATTTTATTGAAAAATTTTAATAAAGTTATTAAAATTGCAAAATATTGAAATAATTCTTTTACTTCTATATAGTTTTTATGAAAATTATCCATTTCCTGATTATTCTTTTGGATGAACTTAATAACATCAACAGCTCCATTGTGAATTATTCCAAACATTTTCATCGTCCGTTTTTCAGTATCAGTAATCAATGCATCACTTTCTTCCAATATATTTTGCTAAAATAATTACCGTATTGTATTTACTTATCAACAATGGTGATATTTTTCTTAAATATGATGCAATTAACTAAGCGAATTGATAAGTAATACAGTATAGCATCAGTTTAGTATGAATTAGTGTTTATTATTATTATTATTTTTTGTTAAATTTAATCGATAAAAATAGTTTACATTGTATATAGTCAAAAGTTATTTCAAGCATCAAAATTATTCACTTTCAATGAAAATTTTATGATGAACAATCAGAAAAAAAAAGAAAAAAATGGTTCATACCATTTCCTTGGAATTAACTACTAAATCATCAAGGTTATTCCATGTATTATTCATTTGATACACTTTGTTATAATGCTAAACAATGATCAATAATTAATTAGCGTAATGTTAGATAAATTTAAATTTCGAACAAGTTGATTAAATATGATTTGAAGCCTAAAGAAGATCGGATAGTGAAGAATGTATTGCCTAATAAAGTGAAAGATTTGAGATTAATTTAAACAAATTGATTGATTCATTTAAGCGATAAAATGACATTCATGCAAATATAATATAAGCCACTGGAATTATGATAACGACATTTCATAAGCAGATGATACTGATAAAATATATTTAAATGTTAATGTGAGAAAGATGAGTTAACCTCATTTATTTGATTAATATAACTGATAATATCATTGATCATCAAAGTTAAATTCTCCATTTTTATTTGCAAAGGTTTTGGTAAAATGCGGATATCACATATGATTATTTCCAACGATACAGGAGTTTTATTTGATGCCCAGCTTACATTCTCCAAATTATTGATTGCCTTCAAAATTTTCCATTTCAAATTCAAATTAAATTTATATTTTAAAAAAAACGAATTTTATTGCTGTTCTATATTAGCTAATCTGTTTAACGTGGCATTGTATAGGCTTTTGCAATCTAACTATTTTTGATTTCCTTTATTATTCGCTTTCCCAAACCGTAGGAACCTAAATCAAAAGTGATAAGCTTGATAATTCAACCGACACTGATAATTGATAGCAAGAACAGACATAGCATATATTCATTTTCAAGTTCTAAACAAAATAAATGAATTGAAAATTATTGAAAATTTCATGGCAATCATTTTTTTTTTGCTAAATTAAAATTAACAAAGCAAACCGATTGCATATTTATATATCCGTCACTTTCCTTGTAATGATTAAATGCATTACTTGGCAACTGCCGTGAAAGATATTTCACTTTATCGAATAATTTCGACAATGTTATTTCCATTTCACACTTTATATCATCGAGTATAATTTCTATTACATTTATAGCATCTAAAAAAAATGAGAATTAATTTTGGAAAGATTTTTAAGAAGTAACCTAATTGCAACGATACATTTGATATCATTGAATTTTATAGATATTTCAACATATAGGAATTATTGCATTAAAGTGTTCATTCTTTAACTATTAAATGAAACAAGAAAAGAAGGTTAATTATAGTAATTAGTAAATTCATTTGTTGTTATTCAAGCACATTACTGAAAATTATCATTGTTATTCTTTTCTTTATAAATGAAAAAAAAACCTCAAAAGTTTTAGAATTTTTATTTAAAAGAAAAAAGTGCCAAAGAATGTGAAACATATAGAAAAATTCAATTTAATTATAATTGCATTGATGGAAATTTTCTGAATTGATTATAATTGCATTGATGAAAATTCTGAAATGCAAAAATATCATAATTGCATTACTTTAATTAAATACCTTCACTAATACTTCGGACAAATTTGTTAATATCATTTGTATTGTTTAGTATATAATCGATACTTTCTAGGCTTAATATAAATGATCCTGTCATAACCGCTTGCATTCCAATTAACAATAGCAAATAACCACAAGAGAGTATTTCAA